CGAAGAGAGCCTGGCATTCCTTGCTTGAATCTCAGGCCCCAGGAACTTGCAGCTGAGAGCCAGCTCAGTATGTAGCCTAGAGCACCCCTACTACCCTCAGCTTTCTCATCAGACACAGAAATTCTTCCTCTGTGTCTCACCAAGTATGCAGATGAAATGAGCTGAGTGTGTCAGGCAAATAAATGTTCAGGCTGAATCCTGACACTTTGACCTCCTGGTCAAAGTGTGGAATTGCCCCCTAGCTCTATCAGACACGAATGAGGGCAGCAAAAGGATGAGTTGCAGTCCTAAAATGAGCAAACCCCTAAGTCAGGGAGAATTCTATGGCCTTGGTGGAGCTAGGCTTTTTAGAAACTATAATGAACTCAGCTCCACTGAGTTAGAATGGGAGGGGAGGGGTTCCAAGGGAACATTCGTGTTGCTGCAGCACAGAGAGATAGAATACTGACTGGTGATGGTTCGTTGAGGATTTTGTCTTCTGGCAGACAAGTAACGGGAGGGGGAGACAGTCTGTGGTCTCCTAGAGACCAGAGAGTGTAGGGCAGAGAGCAGTAAAGAGCAGGTGGTCTGCAGTCAGCCTGGGTTTCTATCCCAGCACTGCCATCCGCTAGCTTGAGACCTGGGCAAGTTACTAACTTTTCTGAGCCTCGGGTTCATCGTCTGTAAATAGGTGGTAATAATAGCCCCCGCCTTGAAATGATGCACGTGTGGCATTACACCTAGTAACTGCTCTTGTCATCCTTCTAGCTTTGACGTTTTAGAGCTGCGTGAATTTTCTTGGCGCTGAGCAACTGCCCCGGCTGGCCTGGCACATTGACTGGGAGCTGGCGGGATGTCTCTGGCGGGGGCACTGGAGAATGCCCGCTGCCTTGCCAACTAAGGCCAGGCTGGCAGGCATCTTGGCATGAGGCTCTCTTCTTCGCTTCCCAGGTGTCCCTCCTCTGGAGCAGGATGTCTGGGCTGTGGCCCGGGAGCTGGGGGCATGAATGTTCTTGGCAGTGGTCATGTGCCTGGGAGCTGGGGCACCTGCCCTGCACCCTTCATGGAGGGTGGGGTGGCGGCAAGGCTGGGGCTGGGGGAAGCCGAGACTCAGGAGCCCCAGAGCGCCAGGAGTCCAGCCCCCCTGGGCTGGGGGAGGCCGAGTCCTCAGGCAGGAAGCCCGGTGTCCTGGGGTTTCAGAACCAGAAGGGCTTTCAGGCTTTCAGGTTGTTGTGCAGGCGGTGATATTGATGCCTAGAGAGTGAGGGGCTTGCCCAAGGTCAGCCAGGACCTAGTGATAAGGAGAGTTTGGTGGGCACAGGTGTGGTACCCAGCTCTGGGCTCCTCCTGGAATCTCACGGAATCCACGGTCGCCCTGTGGAGGGGTGGGCTGTTCTTGCTTCCATTTTGTAGGTGAGCAGCTTAAGCTGCTTGAACCCAGGTCTGGAGGACCCAGCCGCTGTGCTCTGCCCCTAGTCTCTTCCACTCTCCCTCCCCCAAATTGAGGCCTCAGCTTCCTTTAGTTTCTGCCCCACGTAGGCTGCCGGGACCTCACTGGCAGGGACCTCACTGGCTGAGGGAGGCGGGAGCTTCGCCAGGAAGGGCGGAGCAATGTCAGTGTCAGATTATATCATTGTCTCAGCCCACCTGCCCAGCTAATCTCTGGACGTGCACACGCAGACTCAAACGCCACACACACACACACACACACACACACACACGTGTGTGTGTGTGTGTGTGTATGTGCAGACACAGGTGCATGCATGCAGTCTCAGGTACATTCTCCCCAAGAAATGCAGGCACACATATGCACGCGCACGTACACACACACACACACCTGCACTCAGGCACACACTCCTGGGTGCACCCATTCCATCACGTGTCTCAGACCCAGAGGCTGAGGCCCTCTGTAGCTGTGCACGCACGTGGCCTGGCAGGCAGGAGGGGCTCACAAGTTTCCGGATGAGAATGTGCATGGAATTCCAGACTTGGAGGGGATTGTAACCCTCTCCTTTTTTTTTTTTTTTTTTTTTTGCGGTACACGGGCCTCTCACTGTCGTGGCCTCTCCCGTTGTGGAGCACAGGCTCCGGACGCGCAGGCTCAGCGGCCATGGCTCACGGGCCCAGCCGCTCCGCGGCACGTGGGATCTTCCCGGACTGGGGCACGAACCCGTGTCCCCTGCATCGGCAGGCGGACTCTCAACCACCGCACCACCAGGGAAACCCTAACCCTCTCTTTTATAGGTGAGGAACTGACCTCCAGGCCGCAGAATCAGCAGCCTTTCTCTGAGTGCCTGCCATGTGCCGGGTGCTGAGAGATGGTCCCTGTCCGCACAGAGCTCACAGTGGGCAGCGGGGGCAGTTAGAATACATTGTGACTGTGCTGTGATGGGCCACACATCAGGCACAGGGGCATCACTGAGGCAGAACAGGACAGGCCCAGGAGGTCTGTTACCATGGAGCTGCCCTTCCCCCACTCGGGTGCCCATCCTCTGGCTCCAGGGCCTTTGGGAGGTGGCACAGCAGGGGTGACTCTTGGACCCACATCATCTCTCCCTGTCACTCCAGGGTGACTGAGCCACCTGTGGCTTCCCAGACCACACCTTGTCCCAGGAATCCCCTTCCTTGCACCTCCCAGAGAGAGGAAGCCTTGTACTTGTGAGTCTAGCTGATCTGGGTGTGAATCCTGGCTCTACCACTCACCAGCCAAGCAAGGCCTTGAGCAAGTTCCTTAACCTGAGGCTCAGTTTCCCTGTCTCTAAACTGGGGATAACACAAATGGAGGACTCAGCTTATAATGGATACCTTCATTATCTTGATTGTGGTGATGATTTCCTGGCTGTAGATACGTGCCCAAACTTACTAAACTGTACGCTTTAGATATATGCAGTTGATTGCATGTCAATTATATCTCAATAGAGCTTCACAAATATGCAACATTACACCCCCCCACCCGACCACACCACCAGCCCCTTCGCACATGAACACAGGGCTGGGAGCACGCACACTGCAGCAGGGCGCTGGACGGGGCTCTGGGGCTCCTGAGTCTCCCCACTCAGCGAGGCTGCCCAAAGGGGAGTCCAGGGGCTGGGTAGGCTGGGTTCATGGCCTCTGGTGTCACCCAGCTGCGTGCATTTGCAGGGTGGTTTGCTGAGCCATCAAGACAGATTCTGGAAGCCCGCAACCCACACCTTCAGCCCCAGGCACTTCCTACCATGAGTCCTTCCTGCCTCCCTCCCACCTCCTCCCCTCCATCCTGGATGGCCTGTTGCCTGGCTGCGGTTGCCATGTGCATGTCTGCTGGCCCCAGCTGGCCTGGGACAGCCTGGCAGGTGGCTGAATGCCCACTGAAGGGGGGAATTGTGGACATCCATCCATCAGAACTGCCCCCAACCTCACTGTTCCATGATGTGTTTCCCCTTCCAAGTCCAAAGGGCAGTAAAGACATGTGAGCCCTGGGACTGGCTGGAAGGTGGCCTGGTGAGATGCCGGGGACAGCACATAGGATGTGTTCTTGTCCCTCGGCTGGGCTGGGTTCTACTGCAAAGGGCTGGGTGACCACTTTGCAGCTAAACCTCCAGGCACACGAGAAGCCTTCAGTATACAGGAGCCTCTGCATCCTTGGGGAGAGGCCCTTCTGGATGAGGCCACATGGATCTGTGCAGTGATGTCCACAGCCTTTCCCAATAGATTCTATTAAGGACCCTGACTTTGGTCAGTCTCCAGTGCAAATGCTCCCACCAGACACAAGCACACACCCAGGAAATGCAGGATGCTGGGGCCATGTCCATGGAGGCTGGAGACAGATGATGGACTGGATCCAAATCTGGCCCTGCCACCCGCTGACCACAGGACCTCAAGCAAGGGACCTCGCCTCTCTGACCCTCGGTCCTCTTCAGCAAAGTGGGCACATAACAGCATCTACTCTCAGGGCCATGAGGAGAGTGGGGGGAAGGCAGAGCCTGATGCAGCCCTAGGGCTCAGGGAGAGCCTTCTGGGTAGAAGGAACAGTGGCTGCAAAGACAAGGAGTGAGGAGGCCCTGGTGCCTTCCGGAAGCTTCAGTGTAGCTGAAGAGAGGGAGGGATAGCGTGGGACACATCTGTCCTGCTGCAGGACAGATCTACCATCTGTACGTCCTGGTTACCTTCCTCCTCTGGGCCTCAGTTTCCCGCTCTGCACATGGGGAAGTTGGTCTCTGAGCTCCTCCCAACTAATCATTTTGAAGCTGAGTTCATTGAGGTGTTTGGGGTCTCTTGTGTTTCCCCTCTCAGAGGTACTTGCTTTTAAAAAGAGCCTAAAGTCCCATTGTGTGAAGGTTCACTGGGGCCCAGGTGGGAGAGGTCCAGGGGGGCATCCTATTCCCTGTAGAGCTGGGAGGCAGCCCTGCATGCTGGGAAGAACCCAGGTTCTGGAGCCAGACACAGACACGTGCTCTGTGACCTCGAGCTGGCCACTGACCTCTCTGAGCCCCAGTCTCTGCTGCCCCGACATGCATGACAGCTCCTACCTCACGCGGTCATAGTCAGGGTGCAGGGTGATCTATACGAGTCCCCCAGGGCCATGCCTCACTCACACTGGCCCAGCCTAGCAAGGAGCAGTTCTGACTGGAGATGTGTGGGCTGCCCGAGCCTCAGGGCCACGGCCTCTCCCAAGTCTTCTGACGTTGTGCACCCCTTTGCGTCTTGACCCTGTCGTCTTCTCTAGCTGGTGGGGAACTGGCTCCAAGACATGCCTCCACCTGCCAGGCCCCAGCGTGGTGTGTGTGGGTCCCCTGAGAGGGTGTCGGGGGTGGAAGGCGTGAGGCTGCAGGAAGGAACAGCTCCTCAGCTGGTCCTGGTGTCAGACGAACATCCTGTTTCACACCTCACGGTGGCGGCCTGTCCAGGGGATAAGACTGCCCAAGGCCGAGGTCGGGGCTGGGGGACAGGCCAGAAGGGAGCTGTCGGGAGGGGCTGGCAGACGAGAAGGGGGCAGGGCTGGCTCTGGGTCACTCACATTCTTCCTCGTGTCCTCCCTCCAGACGAGATGTCCGGCAAAGGCTCCGTGGTTCTGGCCTACAGCGGGGGCCTGGACACCTCCTGCATCCTCGTGTGGCTGAAGGAGCAGGGCTATGACGTCATTGCCTACCTGGTGAGGGGGCGCCTGGCATGTGTGTCTTTCTACTGTCGGCCCTGCTGTCCATCCAGCCTGCCCACCTGCCCATTGTCACTCATCCAAACCCAGCTCCCCCTCTCTAAGCCTGTCTTGAACTGTAGGAAAATGCTTCTCATTTACTGCCTCTTTCTCTTCATCTGTCGAGTGAACACCTTGGAAGTCCCCCAGGTCTGAGATGCCCCCCAGATCACGGAGGAGGCCGAGTCTCCATGCGAGTAACTGGACAGGGGGCACAGGAGTGAGCGTGGCAGAGCTGCCGGGCCAGCCTCCCTGGAGAGGGACCAAGGGCTTGGATCTGCTGGAGGCCACGAGAAGGCATACCATCTTCCCCTTTCCCAAAGCCCTCAATTATTCAGCAAAGAGTGTAGGATCCTACACTGGCTAAACTAGACGAGCCCTTGGAGATCATCTAATTCTGGGATCGCAAATAGGTCACGGGCCATAGGTTATGTATGATGCCATCCCCCATCCAGGGTCCATAGCAGACATCCCTAATTAAACCAGCTCAACTTCTGATAAACCTGGACATAACCTCTGAATCTTTCTCCATATGACTGTGCAAATTCTAGAAACCCAGCTTAAGCCAAACAAAACCCAAAATAAGCAAAAAAGAAAACCAAAATAATACAGTTCTTCATATAACTGAGAAGGCCATGGGTATAATGGCTTCAGGCAAGGCTGGATCCAGGTGCTTATCCAGATCTGCCTCCATCTCTGCTTGGCTTCATTTTTGGCTTCTCCACGGGGCAGGCAAGGCCCACATCATCAGACCCAAGTTTTCCCAGAGAAAGGAGAGCTTCCTGCAGAGGCTCTGACAGAAGGGCCAGGGGGGACTCTCACTGGCTGGCCTGAGTCCCTGCCCACCATGCATTTGTCAGTATGGCTGTGTCTCGGAGGGCTCGTCCCTACAGTGAGCAGGTGATGTGATGTGCTCTCACCCATCCCTGTGGAAAGAGGTCCCAGCAGAGAAGGTTCTCTTTGCAGAGGAAGTGAAGGTGGCACTCTGGACAGGAAAAGTTCAGCTGTTGTCAAGAACCGTTTGTTTGCAGTTGAAGTCAATCTACCATCCGTAACAGTGCTGACCCCGTGTCCCTCAGGTCGGGGAGGGGAAGTGCCTGGCTCACAGTTGCCTGCTGAGAGAGAGCCAGGGCTTTGAGTGGATGCAGAGAGCCTGGGGTGTGTGCATCCTGTCCTCAGCAGCAGCGGTGGGCCGTCCAGATCCCGGGCTCCCCCAAGGCAGATTTAAAAGCTGAGTGACCTCAGAAAAGCACCTGCAGCTGGACTCTGGGAAGATTCCAGAGTCTGTTGAGCAGAAGCCAGGGCCAACGTCTAGGCAGGAGGCCAGAGTGCAGCCAGCAAAAAAAAAATGCCCATGTCTAGATGGGGCTGTTGGAACCGGAGGCTGGGCTCCAGCAGGGGGACAGCTGGGTATCCATAGCCCAGGCCTCAGCCTCGAGCCGGCTCAGGCACCCTGGGACAGTCAAGTTGCTGCACTTGGCTGGGGAAGTGAGCTGAGAGTCGGGCAGCTGCTGACTATCCAACCTTTGTACTGACTTTGGGGGGATTGGGGGAAGAGTTAGACGGGTTCAAGGGAAACCTTAGACCTTCAAGGCAGTGACAGCAAATGTTGCAACCTAGCAGCCTGGGTGCACAGGGCCAGGCTCGGCCCGTCCTTCAACCAAGTATTAGCTCTGGAGAGTGTTACAGCTTCTCCAGACCCTGGTTAGCGCCCTTTCTCCTTCCTACTTTGACCTCAGCGATCCAGTCGAAACCACCGCCTTCTGAGGGCTGTTGTGTGTGAAACGCACTTGCCCACGGCTCACCCCAGGGTAGGGGAGGGGCGGGGGGGGGACATCCTTCTCAGCTGTTCTTTCTGCCCCTGGGTTAATGGGTCCTCTCTGCTTCTGCTCATCAGGCCAACGTGGGCCAGAAGGAAGACTTTGAGGAAGCCAGGAAGAAGGCACTGAAGCTTGGGGCTAGAAAGGTACCAAGCGGGAGGCAGGGTTTGGCGCTGGAAATGGGATTTGACCTGGTGGAGGCAGCTGTGGGGGGTCCTGTCCCAAAGCTCCTTGTCTCCCCCACGCCTTCCAACTGGTCCTCTTGCTTCCAGGAGTATAAGGTCAATTCCTTCTGCTTTTGGTGTGCAAAGGGCATCATCTTCTGGTCCCCCCAGCCACTCTTCCACCCAGTCACCTCCCCAGCCCACCTCCCCATCCATCTGTCTTTTCCTCACCCATCCATCCACCTGCCCATCCCTCTTTTATCTTGCTGTCCATTCACACATCCACTCACTCATCCAGCCCTCATCCATCTACCTGTCCATCCCTCCTAGCTCTCTGTCCATCCACCCATCCTTCCATCCATTCAACAGAATCAGTGCATTGATTGAGCATCTAATCATGTGGTGAGCAGGCCCATAAGGTGAACGTGGCCAGCGTGGTCCCTGCTCACATAGGCTAACAGTACAAAAGAAACACAATATCTGCAAAGCACAATAAAACGCAATAAAACTCACATCAGAAGTATTAGGAAGCTGTCAAGTTCACGGTGTCAGATACAAGTTTTCCATAATTCTAACTTTTACTGGAAAGCTTGGCAACAAATTCTCAGTTTTCCTTGAAGTGATAGGGTCACTACATTCTTATGAAAATGTTGGCCAAAAACCCAAGTCTGCATTGACCCTGTTTTGTCTGTCGGTCCTTTGTTCAAGAACGATGTTCTATGAGAAAAGGGGCTAGTTGAGCTAATAACTCACTTGTGAATGCAGCAGATATGCTTCGTGTATATTTCACATTTTGTACTCGAGTCGAGCTATAACAAAATTAATCATTTTTTACTGCATTTTCAAGACCACTCTTAAGAGATATCTGCACTGTGAGAGCAAGGCGTGAGGAACACCATGTCTGAGGAGTGTGGTGCCTCTGCCCTGATTTGTGCTAAGGTGCCAGCCCCTTCCCCCATCATCACTTTTGCATATTCAATGTGAATGTCAACAGAGTGAAAAAGGCAAATATCAACTGAGTATCATAAAAAATGTTTTCAGTCTCCCTGAAAGGGTCTGGGGAACTCTAGGGGGTTTACATTTTGAGAATAATTCCTCTAGATTAGGGTTTCTCAACCTCGACACTATTGACATGTGGCTGGCTGTCCTGTGCATTGTAGGATGTTTAGCAGCATCACTGGCCTTTACCCACTAGAGGCCAGAATGACCCCCACAACCCATCAGTTATGACAACCAAAAATATCTCCAGATATTGCCAGCTGCCACCTGTGGGACAAAATAATCCCTGGCTTTTGTGGATTACATCTAGATTTAGGTCTTAGATTTAGCTCTTGTTTCATCTCAGGCCCAGAATGCTATGTTGGGAGGGATTTAAGGACCACATCCAGTTTTGCCTGGATGGTATATCAGGATTGATTAGTAATGTCTGCCATGAGTGCAGGAGGGAGAGTAACTGCAGTGTATGCTGGATTGATTTATGATGTCTACTACAGATGCAGAAGGAAAAGTGGAGGTACAGCTTGCCCTGGGATCCATTAACAGCGTCTGCCTTAGATGCAGGCCACTTGAGGCCCCTGGGACTCTGCTTTCTGACTGCATCCCGTCCCTGCCGAGGCTCCCTCTCATGGGCTCCTCTCTCCATAGGTGTTCATCGAGGACGTCAGCAAAGAGTTTGTGGAGGAGTTCATCTGGCCCGCCATCCAGTCCAGTGCGCTGTACGAGGACCGCTACCTCCTGGGTACCTCTCTCGCCAGGCCCTGCATTGCCCGCAAACAGGTGGAGATCGCCCAGCAGGAGGGAGCCAAGTATGTGTCACATGGCGCCACAGGAAAGGTGAGACCAGGATGGACAGCTGGGGACGGAGAAGGAGACAGGGGGCCTGCGAGGGGCACACAGGCAGCCAGGCAATGGGCGGTCCTCAAGCAGTTGTAGGTTCTCCCCCAGCACAGTCAGGTATGCAGAGGACAGACTGGCCCGTCCAGTCTGAATAAGAGGAATGTTTTCAGTAGCGAGTTAGGGACGGCTCTGCCCTGTACCCCGAGTGTGTGAGTCCCGTGTGCCTGTTCCACATGCGGTTTGAGCAGTGTCACCCCGTTTTGCAAACTTGCTGCTGAGGCTCAGGGACCAAGGTCTCTGTGGGAGTCTCCGTTTAATGCAGTGGGCAGGGTCAGAGACCACGAGGTAGCAAAGGGCTTGAATCCCAGCTGTGTGGCCTTGGGCGAGGCCCTTCCTGAGCCTCAGCTTCTCCACTTGCAAACTGGGGATGAGGCCTTGTCTTAGTTTCCCGGGGCAACGGCACCACAGACTGGGCGGCATAAACACCAGGAATGGATCCTCTCACGGTTCTGGAGGTTTCGGAAGTCCAAAATCAAGGTGTTGGCTGCCATGCTCCCCCTGAAGGTGCTAGGGAAGGGCCGCTTCCGGGCTCTCCCCTGGCTTCGGGTAGCTCAGGTGTCCTTGGCTTGTGGGTGCATCACTCCAGGCCTGCGTCTTCACGTGGCTGTCTCCTCGGGGTATCTTCACATTGCCTGCCCTCTGCACGTGTCTGGTTCTGTGTCCACATTTCTCCTTTTTATCAGGACACCAGTCATACTGGATTAGGGCCTGCCCTAATGACCTCATCTTAACTTGATTACTTCCGTAAAGGCTCTATCTCCAAATAAGGTCACATTCTGAAGGATTCGGTCGGGGGTGGGGGGCGGTTAGAGCTTCTACTTATCTTTTGTGGGAGACACAGTTCAACCGATAACACACCTGCTACTTCTGGCCCTTGTGTGCAGGAGTGCAGACTGAAGGACGACCCTGGGGATAGAAGGCAGGAAAGCCCTCAGCCCCCGTCCCGCAGGTGGCAGGGCTCAAGAAACAAGATTCCTAACGATGTAGGCAGTGTTACTCTGGAGTCGTGAGCTCGCAGTTAGTGGACATGCCGCCAACAGCTTGCTCCAGGCTGGGGGGCAGGGGGCCTACCTCTCAGCACGCGTGTCCTGACCTGACCCAGGCCCGCCCCCGGCAAGGCTGGTCGAGGCAGTCGGGAGTGGGGGAGCAGGCCCTGGCTCAGTGTGATGTAGGGACACTCACAGCTCAGACTATGACGGAGGAGGTGTGATTTGGGGGTGGCCTTGCAAACAGTCGTCCCACCAGGTGGTAGTGGTGTCTTTGGAAGCTCACTCATTTGCTTGGTGCTCGGTCAGCCAGCTTGTACTGGCGTCTGTACAGGGCTGAGTGCGTGCCGGACACCGGAACAGTGTTGAACTTCACGGGCCCTTTTTCCTGCCCTCAGGGGGTCTGTGTCCTAGCGAGGGAGAGGGTGGCGGTAGGGTCAGTGCCAGGGGAGCCGAGGGGAGCCGAGGGGGCAGCAGGCAGGGGCCGAGGGAAGGCTGTCGTGCAGAGCACGGCCCTGAGGGAGGAGGAATGGGTACAGGAAGAGAGTGCCAGGCGGAGGGAACAGCCTGAGCAAAAGCCTGGAGACGAGGGTCCTGAACACGTAGTGGGAGCTGTAGCCTTGAGAGAAGCAGCAGGGCCAGGGCTGGGCCGGGGCCATGCTGCGGGGTTTGGCTTCAAACCCCCCAGGTTGGACAGGGGTGGCCAGTGGCCCTCCCCCACCCCTATGGTATGTAGGGGATTGTTCTGGACTGAAACTATGGGCTCCTGTAAAAGAAGCGGACCGGCGAGCGTCGCCCTAGTTTTCACTAACACCCTAGTCGTGAGCACATTTTGAGCGGGGTGGTGGGAATCATAGGCGGAGCAGTGGGTGGACCGGGGCCGTTTGGGCAGAGGCCTGCATACCGCCTTCCACTCAGGCGGTAGGAGAGAGTTCAGAGGAACCCAGAGGTTCAGGACTTGGGACTTTGGGGCCAGTACAGCTAGGTTCAGATCCTGGCTCCCCTGCTTTCACACTGTGTGACTTCATCCCATGAGTCTCAGTTTCCTTATCTATAAAATGGGGATAAAATAGAACCCGCTCATGGGGCAGTTGAGAGCTGTGAGTAGGAAGTAGGATCATGCCAATAAAGAGCTCAGCATAGACCTGGCGCATCGTAAACACTCAATGAGAGAGAAGTGCCCCTGATCGCACAATCATCAGACCTGTACTGGGGCTTTGAGAACAAGCATCAGTGCAGAATGAACCTCTGAGACATCTCACCTGTCTGTGATGAAATCAGCCGGGCAGTGAGCTCCCTGTTCCATGAGGTATTCAAGCTGAGGCCAGGAAGTGAGGATTATGGAAGGGCTCCTGCCTGGAGAAGTTCCCCCCAGAAGTACCATCAGGACTGAGGAAGGGTGGTGGGTCTGCCCCTGGCCTGGGAGGCTCTTGGGGTCCAGGGAGACCCCCCACCCCCCGCACTAGACTAGCTCCCATGCAGCTGGGAATAGCTGCCAGCGGCTGTGTGCGCTGCTCCGTTTGGCCACAAGAGGGCACCAGAGGTTTGGGTTTGAGGCCTCCGGAGGCTGACCCTGAAGGGAAGCGGCTGGAGGAGGCCCGGGCCACCCAGGGTCCCGTTTCCCACTCTGGTTCTGCGGGGCTTCGCTTCTGAGAAGAACACCCTCCGCGGCAGTTCCGTAGCCTCTTGAAATTCGGGGACGTCCTTACAGTTCATGCTCAGTGTCTGCAAGAGGGACAGTCCGACTTGAAACAGCACTGGGGGGCCTCCAAGACCAGCAGCGGGAAGACCACAGGGGATGGTTGGGCCCGGTGCCCCCCACCCCGAAATTTCCCATCTCTTCTGAGGGTCGATGGGCAAGGCGTATTCCTGTGCCTCAGTTTCCCCTTATTTAATAGGACCTGGGGAAGCCCCCAACAGCCTCTGCAGACAGTTTCCTAGAAGAGGGGGGTGTGAGTGAGGAGAAACTGGAGGGCCTGGACTGGGGTCCAGAGGGATGCCAGGCTTGAGGCAGGGGGTGGTGGGGAGGGAGGGCCCAGCTACCTGCAGGGGCTGGTGGTCTGCTTGGCTCGGGGGGGAGGGGGCTGGGGGGGGGCGCATCAGTGACTTTACACGTCAGGAGATGGGTGTCCAGAGTGAGTGAGTGTGGCCTACAGGAGGCTGGCACCCAGAGGCAGATCTGGGTAGGACACTTGGCCAAACTTTCTGCAAGGGGTTCGCAGTGAAGAGAAAGAGCTGGGTGTAAGCAGACTGCAGGGGGGCTTCCCCAGATGGGGAGATTCTAGCAGGGACCGTCCTGAGCCCCCGGCCTCTCCCAGCTTCTGGCTCCCGAGTCGGGCGATGGAGAGACCCAGGGCCTCCGGGCCGTTGTTCCAGCCCCACCGATGTCGCCTTCATGCATTGGCTCACTGAACGCCCCACTGAATACCTACCCATCCCTGGCTGTCCTCCACACACTGGGACACCCATACAGGGGACTTGGGAGCCCTGACCCAGCAGGGGGTGACGGTGATGCTGAGACAGGAGGAAGGGCATCCCAGGCTGCAGGAATAGCTTGTGCAAAGGCCTGGAGGCCAGAGGCAGCTTCTCACCCAGGGCCCAGCCCAGGCGGCACCTGGTGCCGAGAGAGCGGGGGTCCACCCCTTCACACCCCTCGGGGACCCTGAACCCTCCCCACCAGAGAGCTGCACAGAAGCTGGGATGGCCCTTTGAGGGCCCCCTTCCTCCCCCCAGTTTTGGAAGACGGGCCTGGAAATAGGAGCCTGAGACTCGGGAAGGGGTGTGGCGGCAGGGGTTTTGTAAATGGCGCCATCTGTATGGTGAGGCCAGGAGCAGATGGGAGAGCCCCATGCAGTCCCCGAGGGCGCGGCACCCGCACTTACACATGTATATCAGCACGTGGACACGCACGGGCTGTGTGGGACCTGCTACACCTCCTCCCCGGCCCCCGGGGAAACCTGACAGGGCCACCCTGGGCCTGGGGCTCCTGGGGTCAGGGAGGGAAGGACTGGACAGGCCTCGGCTCTTGTCTGGGACAGAGTTTGAACCTGGGGAGCCTGTTTGGCTTCTGCGAGGGTCTCTGGCTCAGGAACAGATGGGTGTCCCCATGGCGATCCTGATGGGCAGACCCCAGCCCGGCATGCCCGTCCAAGGAGGCACAAGCTGCCATTGTGCTGGGGGAAACTTGAAGCCCTGGAGAAAAAAAAAATCACCAGGATGTGCAACACTAGACCATATGCTTTTTATTGTAGACACCATTGCTCCAGGAACTGTGCTGGTCACTGGCCCTCGGGCAAGTATCACAGCCTGTGCCTCAGTTTCCCCATCTGTGAGATGGGGATAATAATAGAACCCACCTCAGGGGCTGCCGTAAGGGTTCAATGAGTTATGCGTGGAGCTCAGACCCGTTACCTGACTGTGAGCTATTAGAATGGGAGTGGTGCCTGCTGGCTGTGTGTCCCTGGGCAAGTGACTCCACCTCTCTGAGCCTGAATTGCCTCATCTGTAAAACAGGGTTAAAAATCCCGCTGGTGCCAGGTGGCTCTCCCATGTGGCAGCCAGGGCATGGTAGGCGCTCACTGAAGGGATGGGATGGAGGGTGAGTGGGGTGGCTGGTCCCGCACAGCTTGTAGCCCCGGGAGATACCAAGAGAGGAGCGGCCTTGGCCCCTTAGCTCCTGGCTCTGAGCAGAGGGGCTGAAACCTGTATTTCCGCGTCGCCTGACAAGACTCTGGAAAATAACATGTTATTCCCGCCGCTGCCTCGCTGCGCCTGTGCAGTTTTCACAGTAGGCGAGAGGTCCCTCTGATATTTCCACAGCGCTTAAGCCTCCCTCCAGGCTGCCGAGCTGATGGGAAGCAGGCGGGCGGCTGGAGGGGGCGGGGGGGGGGCGCATCAGTGACTTTACACGTCAGGAGATGGGTGTCCAGAGTGAGTGAGTGTGGCCTACAGGAGGCTGGCACCCAGAGGCAGATCTGGGTAGGACACTTGGCCAAACTTTCTGCAAGGGGTTCGCAGTGAAGAGAAAGAGCTGGGTGTAAGCAGACTGCAGGGGGGCTTCCCCAGATGGGGAGATTCTAGCAGGGACCGTCCTGAGCCCCCGGCCTCTCCCAGCTTCTGGCTCCCGAGTCGGGCGATGGAGAGACCCAGGGCCTCCGGGCCGTTGTTCCAGCCCCACCGATGTCGCCTTCATGCATTGGCTCACTGAACGCCCCACTGAATACCTACCCATCCCTGGCTGTCCTCCACACACTGGGACACCCATACAGGGGACTTGGGAGCCCTGACCCAGCAGGGGGTGACGGTGATGCTGAGACAGGAGGAAGGGCATCCCAGGCTGCAGGAATAGCTTGTGCAAAGGCCTGGAGGCCAGAGGCAGCTTCTCACCCAGGGCCCAGCCCAGGCGGCACCTGGTGCCGAGAGAGCGGGGGTCCACCCCTTCACACCCCTCGGGGACCCTGAACCCTCCCCACCAGAGAGCTGCACAGAAGCTGGGATGGCCCTTTGAGGGCCCCCTTCCTCCCCCCAGTTTTGGAAGACGGGCCTGGAAATAGGAGCCTGAGACTCGGGAAGGGGTGTGGCGGCAGGGGTTTTGTAAATGGCGCCATCTGTATGGTGAGGCCAGGAGCAGATGGGAGAGCCCCATGCAGTCCCCGAGGGCGCGGCACCCGCACTTACACATGTATATCAGCACGTGGACACGCACGGGCTGTGTGGGACCTGCTACACCTCCTCCCCGGCCCCCGGGGAAACCTGACAGGGCCACCCTGGGCCTGGGGCTCCTGGGGTCAGGGAGGGAAGGACTGGACAGGCCTCGGCTCTTGTCTGGGACAGAGTTTGAACCTGGGGAGCCTGTTTGGCTTCTGCGAGGGTCTCTGGCTCAGGAACAGATGGGTGTCCCCATGGCGATCCTGATGGGCAGACCCCAGCCCGGCATGCCCGTCCAAGGAGGCACAAGCTGCCATTGTGCTGGGGGAAACTTGAAGCCCTGGAGAAAAAAAAAATCACCAGGATGTGCAACACTAGACCATATGCTTTTTATTGTAGACACCATTGCTCCAGGAACTGTGCTGGTCACTGGCCCTCGGGCAAGTATCACAGCCTGTGCCTCAGTTTCCCCATCTGTGAGATGGGGATAATAATAGAACCCACCTCAGGGGCTGCCGTAAGGGTTCAATGAGTTATGCGTGGAGCTCAGACCCGTTACCTGACTGTGAGCTATTAGAATGGGAGTGGTGCCTGCTGGCTGTGTGTCCCTGGGCAAGTGACTCCACCTCTCTGAGCCTGAATTGCCTCATCTGTAAAACAGGGTTAAAAATCCCGCTGGTGCCAGGTGGCTCTCCCATGTGGCAGCCAGGGCATGGTAGGCGCTCACTGAAGGGATGGGATGGAGGGTGAGTGGGGTGGCTGGTCCCGCACAGCTTGTAGCCCCGGGAGATACCAAGAGAGGAGCGGCCTTGGCCCCTTAGCTCCTGGCTCTGAGCAGAGGGGCTGAAACCTGTATTTCCGCGTCGCCTGACAAGACTCTGGAAAATAACATGTTATTCCCGCCGCTGCCTCGCTGCGCCTGTGCAGTTTTCACAGTAGGCGAGAGGTCCCTCTGATATTTCCACAGCGCTTAAGCCTCCCTCCAGGCTGCCGAGCTGATGGGAAGCAGGCGGGCGGCTGGCAGCCATTGTCTCTGAGGACAGGACGCGGGCACAGGGAGGCAGGGCCGCCTGCCCAAGGCTGGTGGGGGCCGTGGGGCCCCAGCGCCTGGGCTTGGGCCAGGCTCTGTGCCCTTGGACTTGTCCCTTCCACCTCTGGGCCTGTTTCCCTCTCTGTGCAGAGGAGCCTTCGGTGGTCACCTGGATCTACCCCTCCCCCAGCCAGCCACTGTGTAGACAGGGAAACTGAGGCTCCCAGAGGAGACAGGACTCCCGGTTTTCTGGACAAAAGCACTGTGGAACCATGGGAGTGGGGCAGGTGGGGCCAGGTAGGTGGGAGGCCCTTGGGAAGAGGCCGACGTGTGGGCAGCTCGGGGGCTGCCTGGAGTCTCGGCGGTGCCAGGCCTCCAGCCCTGCATGTGTGTGCACCCCCTGAAGTGCAGACACACGTGATGACCCGTGTGCACGCCCCCTCACACACCAGTGCGCACAGGGTCACGACCATCACAGCTCAGCACACAACGGGCACGTGGGCATCTTGCGGACACATAGACACACGTCCTGCACACTTGAGTGCCCGCACAGCTCAGCTCTGTACTCGGGGAGTCCTGGGTTCAAGTCCAGAGCAGAAAGCCCTCTCCAGGAAAGCCCAGTCTTCATCTTTCAAACAGGCTCGTAGGACCCACCTCAGAAGGTTGTGAGGTTGGAGGTGAGCACATGCGGAGAAGGGATCCACCCAGGGGGTCTGCCCTGAGTGGCCCTCGGGTGATTGTTGAAGGTCACGTGGCATTGCCCCCGCCCCTGGCCACGCCCCCCGCAACTGGTCCCTGTTCTGTGGCTCCTGACCGTCCCGTTCCACGTTTCAGGGGAACGACCAGATCCGGTTTGAGCTCACCTGCTACTCACTGGCCCCCCAGATTAAGGTAAGATGTTGCTCCTCCCACTAGAGGGTGGGCGCTGGGGGCTGAGGCCCCTGGGGGTGTGGGGCATGGGGTTCTGGGAGGTTCTCCAGACAGGGACCTTGTGGTGGGTGGTGCCCTTCTTTCCCATGGAGAGCTCCCTTCACTCACACCAACTGCAGGGGGACAACACTCTGTCCCTGACCATTTGTCCTTCCCGAGACACTGCCCAGGTGCCTGGGCAGGTCAGGCACTGGAGGGAAAGATGAGGCTGCCCGTCCGCCAGGGTCCTTGCAAAGCCGGGTCTGGCTTCCCGGGTGCAGATTGGAGCCATTCTGAGACACGGTTGGCCAATATCTGAGCTGATCACAGCCCTCTCAGCCCCAGTGGGGGCCACCCGGCTAAGGCCCTCCCCCTCCCGGCTGCCTGAGCCCTGACCCCCGGGGTCTCGGATTCTTTCCTGGGATGGGAGTCAGTAGGATCAGGCCCTTGGGCATCCAGTGCGCAAGGCCGAGCCATAGAAATACACTAAATGCCATAAACACAAGGCCCAAGGGTGACTGCAGTTTTTCTAGTGGCCACGTAAAAAAAAACAAAACAAGGTAAAAAGCAACAGGTGACATCATTTTACTATGGTTTATTGAACCCTATGTATCCAAAATGGTACCATTCAACATGTTATCGATGTAAAAAAATTATTGAGATGTTTTACATTCTTTTGGTACTAACCCTTTGAGACCCACTGTGTGCTCTACACTTAGCTGGGACCGGCCACGATTCGGGCCTTGGTGGTCACACGTGGCGCCTGGGTGCCATCTTGGACGGCACAGGCAGGCGCGGGTCCAGCTCCTTTGAGCCCACTTCGGGCGAAAGCGACAGAAAACGTGCCCCTCCCAAGCCCACAAGGGTCCCTAAGGGGTTTCATTTTTTTTCTTTTAAGTGGAACATCTTTCTCTGTCCCTTGAACCAGCCAGCAGCTGCTTGGGGGGTGAGAGTGGCCTGGAGGTGAGCGGTAATGAACTCTAATGATCTGTTTTGACCCCAAACACCAGGCGGCAGAGAAGCCCCCGGAAAGTAGCTGCCTGTTGATGCTGTAGGCGGGTGGGCGTGAGGTCCTTCCCCAACCCCCATTCTCTGTTCCCTCAGCAGCTTGGGGGGCCAGGGTGTCCGGTTTCTGGGTCTTTGTCTGCAGAGGCCAAGGCCAGGGGTGGGATGGGGCTGGGGACCGGGCCCCAGGCTGGTCTCCGGGAGCTAGGATGAGGCCAGAGGGAGCTCCATGCCCAGGCACTGCTCATTCCAGGCCTGGGGGACCCCACTCACGCCACTCTCATCAGCTTCCCAGCCCGGAGATCACACCGGCTTCTCCGTCTAGATGACACCTCCACCCCAATTAGGCTGCTGTCGGCAGAGGCAGGGGCCTGGCTGGCTCCATGGCTGAGTGGGAGCTTTTGTTGGGGGCTTGTCCCCGACCCCCCAGGCTGGTGGGATGAATTCGGTCCCTTCAGTCAGGCTCCAGCTCCCCTCCTTTCCCCAGCCAGAGCAGCCCTGGGGGAGGGGGAAGGGAGGGGAGAAAGAGGGGTGGGCCAGGGGACATTGCAGGTCGCATGGGCCTCACTGCCCCGCAGCAGGGCCAGGCGGTGCAGCTGCAGCAACGTGAACCCCTCCTTAGTCACCAGGGGTGTGGGCTCCTGGCCCTCTAGACAGGGGTGCCATCAGGAAACTTGAGGCCTATCTAGTTCAAACCCTCAAGTCTCAGTTGGAGAGACCGAAGCCCAGAGGGGCAGGAACCCGCCTGGGGACGCACGGCCATTCTGCCACAGAGCTCGGGCCTCTCCAAAGCCACCCTCTAGGACGGCAGGCCGTGTCATTCCCCTGCCCAACGGGGTCCCCCTGCCCACACCCCATGGGGTACGTAGAACCCCCACCCAGGTGCCCAGTGGAGCCTCAGGCCCTTACCAGAGCGGCCAGCTCTGCAGCTTAAAGCCAGGAGAGGCTGCCCGGGCCTGACTCCTTGCCCCATGTCCAGGTCATCGCTCCTTGGAGGATGCCCGAGTTCTACAACCGGTTCCAGGGCCGCAACGATCTGATGGAGTACGCGAAGGTATGGCCAGACCCCACCATCACCCCGGCCCTGGCCCAGTGCCCTCCAGGCACAGCCCTCCAAGGGGGTTGTCTGGGCCAGAGGCACGGGGCTGGGACTGATACCCACACCTGGAGACTGAACCTCTGCCCTGGCTGCTCCCCTCCGCCCCGTTACACCTGCTCCCTGGGCCGGCTCCGCTGAGGTGTGGTCACTGCCAGGGGCATCTCCCAAGGGAGCCCCCAGTCCGCCGAGCAGGAGGGCGACGGGCCCCCTCTGCTTCCTGTTCCAACTGCCACCTCTGCGATGTGTGTCACTCAGGGGATGGGCGGATGGGGGGTGGGGGCCCGGCTGTTCTGTGCCCCTCCGTTACCTAATTGTCCCCTGCTTTCCCAGGGGCAGGTAGGCGCTCCGAGGGGCAGAGGCAGACAAGGACTTTCGTCGCACCAGCCCTTTGGAAGGACAAGTTGCAGTAAAACATATTAGAAGTTTTGCATCAAGATCCTTAGCCAGGATCCCCAGGGTACCTTTCTTTTTAGCGACTCGATGGCAGCCCTTGACAAACAGCCTCAATCAGTCAGACAGGGGGAAGCAACCCCGTGCATACAGCAGAAAATTACTCGGGGTTTTAAACAGCAGTCACCAGGGCTGGCTGTGAGCTCTTGCTGCGGCCAAGGGGCCGCGTGGTAGGGGACGCGGCGGGGACGCAGCCCTGCCCCTACCGCCAGTCTCCCATTAAGACCTGGAGAGCTCGGAGGAAAGATCTCTTCTACCATCTGTTGTTTTATTATTAAAAGGGGAGTTTACAAGAGCAAGCCCATATGTTGCCAAACAAATTTTCAAATAGCAGAGCTATTAAGAGAACAAGGTTAGAGGCTTTTTTCCCCTCCTTGGTCTCCTTGATGATACAGAACACGAAGCACGTTTTATCTTTAAGAGCAATGAATTGAGACCCCCGCCCGTCTACATTCTTACGCCTGCAGTTGTGGTTCAAGAGAGGCCTGACCCATACGCTGCGCTGCCCTTCATTTCCGTGAAGCTCCCACAACAAAAGCGGCCCCTGGTTTTTCCAGAAAAGATGAATTTCAGCAGTGTTGCTGTCCCTCCTTCCCAGATTTTGGGGAGAAGGCCCTTGGCTCAGCTACTGTCTCAAATAACCTTTTAAACAGGAAAGTTTGTCCCGGAGAGATGAGTCTGTGTCTCTGGCCACCGACCCTCCCTTGGAGGCTGGGATCAGAATTGAGCTCTCGGCAATCTGACCACATTCCAGGACGGAGGCAGTGTCCCTGCACCCGGGGAGTGACCAGAATGACAGAGCAGCAAGCAGACTCTGTCCAAAATTCAGAGCCAGGCAGCTGCTTCAGCTGAGACGAAAATCAATGGGGCTTTGAAAAGCCCTGCTTTCAAGATTCCTAAGTCGCCAAGGCCACAAGGTGCTGTTAGGAGACTCATCGAAAACATGCATTAGCATCACTTTCCACCTCCCCGCAAATCCGTCGTCCAAGGGAAAAACACTCAGAATCATCCCATCCTTATCACTGTCACCATAATTCTTTTAGAGCCAGTGTGCAAGGTCGGGGGCTGGAAAGCAGGGCAGTCTCCTGTGTGCATGCTGAAGATGGTTTTGTTTTCTGTTCTCAGTTGCATCCAGAATTTCCAGTGTGTGTGTGTTGGCGGGGAGCTCAGGATGGAGAGGGGAGGGGAAACAAATCTCTTTGGTTGAGGGACTATGTTTGGCATTTGTATATATCTCTCTGCTGAGGAAGGGCTGCCCATCCCGTTCCTCCCTCCTCCGCCCCTTACCTCCCGTTCGCTCGGATGGAGCCCCAGTGGGAAAGAGGAAAGGCAAGAGTGTTTCCAAACCACCCCCCAGAAGAAAGGCTCCAGGGAACCCGCCTGCTCGTTTTCTCAGGCCCCAGCCCAGCGAGTCCTCTCTGAGGGGATTTCAGCCCATCTGGCACAGGGTCCTGGTCCCCACACCTGGCCACTCTACCTGGAGACGGCACAGGGCAAGCGTGTGGATTTGACTCTGGGCAGCTTCATGGGGCACAAGGAGCCCTCTGACATTGATTAGCCTCTAAGTGAGGTGTTCCGTTTTGCCCATGTGGTTTACATTGAAGAGTACGCAAATTTTAGAGTGGGTGTGGCTTGTTTCTTTTAAAAGGAGCCTCTGGGTAAAGCTTGACAAAAATCAAGAGGGGGTAACCTAATTTATTTTGAAATTTTAAGGTGTTGATGAAGGAAACAGTGGCTCCCTGGAGGAAGCCTCTAGAATCTTAGTCGTGGGCATGAGCTGAGCCTGGGCAGAGCCCCATTAAGAGAGATGGGGCGATGCTGGTGGAGGCTGTGGGACCCTGGGCTGGCCAGTTTGGGGGACCCACCCAGGGGGCGAGGTGCTGAAAGGGGGCCTGGGAGGCGGAGCGGACGATCTCGCTGACTTAAAGGGGGCCGGGCTGGACCACTCAGCTTTTGTGCCCGGTAAGCCCAGGAGGGGAAAGCAGGATGTAATACACGTGCTGGATCCAACCAGGTGTCAGCCAGGGCAGCTCAGGAAGCCAGCCACATCTTTAATCCAAAAGGCCTTCCAAGTGTCACCAACAGCCTTTCAGGCCCAGGGTCTCCGGAGGGATAACTTTTCTCCTTGGACCAAGGCATGGATCATCTGGGAAGCAAAACATAATCAGAACCAACAGGGAGGATGGGGGCTATTCCTTTTCAGGGCTGCAGAGTGATGTGTGTGGTGACTGCTGAGCAGTGGGGGTAAGTGGCCCCAGGAAGCGCCCGGCCATGCCCCGTAAACAAGTGTCCTGAACGAGCAGCTCTCATGGGCGCCTCTCGCTTCCTTGGGTGAATGTTAAGCACCCCAGTGGGTGCAGATGCCTTGGCTGAGATCCATATTGGAAGTTGGGTCCATTCCAGCTCCCGGCTCATAGGGCCACAGTGGGGGTCAGCCGGTGGTGCTGGGAGACCCTTGGCACACTCTTAAGTGCTTTGGGGGGCCCTTGAAGTGTAGACTCAGAATCTTCTGGAAGAAACCTCCAAGGCCAGCATCCACTCCACAGCATCTCAGACACAGGGTCTTACAGTTTCTGCCTGGGCATGTCTGGAAATGGGCCCTCACTCTCTCCCTGAGCAGCCTGAGGGAGGGGAAGGAAACCAGGGGTGCATCCAGGGCCTTGCCTGCATGGGAGCCAGAGGTTGGGGGTGTCTTTGACCTTGAAAGAAAACCAAGGCAGCTGGGCCTGACCCTTGCGTCTACTTCAAGTTGCCCCTTGCCTGCAGCGACATGGAATTCCCGTCCCAGTCACCCCCAAGAACCCGTGGAGCATGGACGAGAATCTGATGCACATCAGGTAAGACGTCGCCCACCTGTCCACTGCTCTGCTTAGCGTCAGTGGGCGCCTGTCTGCGTCGGGCCAGAATGTAGTGGTGACCCGCACGACACGTGGTCCCTGCCCTTACGGAGCCCGGGGGCCTCGAGGAGGACAGGCCACCTCGTTCCCAGCTCTTGCTGCAGCTCTGCTGAGTGCCAGCCGTAGATAAAGGGCACCTGGCCTCGGCTGGGGTGTCAGGGAGGGCTTCTCTGGGCAAGTGGCATTTGAGGTTAGAACCTTAAGGATGAGGAGGGACCGGCCGGGGCTCCGGGAAGGGCGTCGAAAGCAGAGGGAACAGCATCTGGGAACAACCCTCTGAGAAGGCCCCCTGGATCTGGCGCCCTGAAGACTGAGGGAAGTGTCCCAGGCCCTTGCTTGTAGCCTGCAGCTCCCACGGCCAACTGCGGTGGGCCCAGAATGTTCCAGGCGGGCTTGGCAGCAGTTGCTTTGGCAGAGATAAAAGGACAGACCGGACTTACGTTGGGGGTAGGGGTGTCAAGGCTGTGTCCCTCTGCCCCCTCCACTGACCCCCATCTTTCTTCTCCCCTACAGCTACGAGGCTGGAATCCTGGAGAACCCCAAGGTAATTCCCCATTTCCCTCCCAAGCCGGCTGTCTAGCGGTGGCTGCTCCGTGCCGACACTGTCTGGTGTGTTTGTAGCCTAATTTGAAATTTCACGGGGGGCCAGGCGTGGGGCTGGGGCCGAGTCCGGCCTGTGTTCCCCGACCCTCCCCACCGGGCGCCCCGCCGCCTAGCCACTGCACACTGCGTTTTAAGATCCACCCCCTTCTCTGGTGCTCTTTTTCTAATTGCTGTTGGGATGAATAGGAGAAGGAAATATTTCAGGGCAGCATAGAGCCAGAGTGTGATTGTGAGACAATACAGAAGCAATTAGGCAGATGAGACACTTGTGGGAGGGCCCAGCCTGTGCCCTTTCAGGCCGCTGCTGCCATCGGGGGAGGTGGCACAGATCAGAGCCTCAGGACCCATTCGTCTGGGCCTGTGCCCGCCTGCGTCAGGCCGCCCTGATGCCCCTGTCCCCAGCCTCCCAGGCTGGGCCTCGGCCGTGTTTGAAGTTTAGGATTTCTCTCCCTGGGGGGTTTTCCTTTGTATCTCCCCCCGCCCCAGCCCACCGTGGGAGATGGAGATCTACCCTGGGAAGAGAAAAGTCTCTTTGTCCCTGAGGGGCTGTGTCTCCATTGCCTGGCTCAGCCCCGCTACACCACCACCACCACCACCCCCCCCCCCATCATCACCACCATCATCACCATCATCACCACCATCATCACCATCATCATCACAACAATCATCACCACCATCATCACCATCATCATCACCATCATCATCACAACCATCATCACCACCATCATCATCACCATCATCACCACAACCATCACCACCACCATCCTCATCATCATCACATCACC